GGGGTTGTCTGTGTGTGTGTTTGTGTGTGTGCGTGTGTGTGTCCGCAGCAACTTGTCCGCAACTTTGAACTCGGGAACCACAAAAGCTAGGAAGCTGAAAATTTAGGGTAACGTTCCCCACCCATGTGTGATCCCGCAAATTTAAATTCAGCTTCCCCGTACCCGCGGGCAACGCGTACGGCCCCGTGAAAGTTTCTTACGGGTAAGTTAATATCTCGGGAACCACGGAGTCTAGGAGGCTGAAATTTTAGGGTATTGACCCGCTGCCCATGCTCAACCTTGCCCATCCAAATTCAGCGTTCTCAGGCTCTCGGGTACTACCTACGGCCTCGTGAAAATTTGGCGGGTAAACTATTAACTCGGGAATCACAGGAAGATGTTTATCCTTCAAGTTTCGAACTCAGCTTTCATACGCTGTTGCGTGAAATTTTTAACTGTTTTCCAATGTTTGAACTATTTTTGCATGGACTAAAGTACAAAGCAGTGAAAATCATTAATAGGCAATCGTTCGGTGGGCTGAATTGCACAAAACGCATGATCGCACCGGCTAGTCTGGTGCACGTTGCCATTTATTTATTTCCTTCTACTGTTTGCAGCGTAACAAAAGATCTATGAGGGTTGATTTCAGGAAGAAGTAGCATCGCGCCGAGAGGGAGAGAGGGGAATGGTCGTGCAGTTATATCACTGATGAATGGAAGCCGCCTGTGCTGCCGTTTACATCTCAAAAAAGCATGGACTTATGAGGATTACGATACTGCGCTGACCAAGGTTATTGCACAGCCCGAATTGGATACGCGAAAGGAACCTTTTTTTCGCAAAATTTTAGCAATTTTTATGCGTTTTTTGCCAAAAATTGCTTTTTTGGAAAAAGCACTGCGCCTTTTTGCTCCCATTTCTTTTTATTTATTTCCATTCTTTCTATGGCACATGAAAGTGATCAGTGTGCCCATCTTGGTAAAATGCTTGCGTAAAAAATTTTTGAGTTTTCGCGCTTACTACGTTTTATATGGTTTTTTTTTTTTACTTAGTTCGTTAGCTATATATGTATATACATACACATGTATATATACGTATATATGCATGCGTATAAACATATATATATATATATATATATATGCATTTAAGGTTAGATGGAGATTTTGTTGAAAAATGTAAGAATGGATGATAGAAAAGGTAGAAAGGTAAAAAAGGGAAGATGTAGAAATGAAGAAGTGTTAAATTAGGTAATAAATGTTTCGGTCCATTTAGTCGTATAAATTTCTTACCGTTACCACACGATTGGATCTCGTCAGTACGACGACTGTGGTAACAATGTAATTTAGTTAAGGATAAGAATTAATTGAGATAGAAAAGATGGAATAGCTGGTAATAATTACTGTTTGATGAATGGCTTTAGAGTTAGCATCCGATATTTCTAGGTGAAATTGAAACAGCTAGGATCATTTCTTGTGCTGTCTAGTACCATCACTGACTAACTGCCTTTGTGCTTTAAATTCATCGATTTGGAATATTTTTCATACAGTCTTTCGCCGCTGTATATTTTTGCTGTGAGAGCATCTGATTTGTTTCAGCTATGGCAACAAGGCAGCTGCTGAAGTGGCTGTATATAGCTGCGTTTGCA